ACATGTTCGAGCCGTGGAATCAGCCAATGATGCTTGCTACCTACATCACATCCCCTTGGGGTGAGATCCTATAGGTCACATGTTCGAGCCGTGGAATCAGCCATTGATGCTTGCTACCTACATCACATCCATTTGGGGTGCGCCCCTATAGGTCACATGTTTGAGCCGTGGAATCAGCCACTGATGTTTGCATTAGGGTAGGCTACCTACATCACATCCCCTTGGGGTGAGATCCTATAGGTCACATGTTCGAGCCGTGGAATCAGCCATTGATGCTTGCTACCTACATCACATCCATTTGGGGTGCGCCCCTATAGGTCACATGTTTGAGCCGTGGAATCAGCCACTGATGTTTGCATTAGGGTAGGCTACCTACATCACATCCCATTGGTCACGGGTTCGAGACATGGTATCAGCCACTGATGCTTGCATTAGGGTAGGCTACCTACATCACATTCCCTTGGGGTGCGATCCTATAGGTCACGGGTTCGAACCGTGAAATCAGCCACTGATGCTTGCATTAGGGTAGGCTATCTACATCACATCCCCTTGGATGTGACCCTATAGGTAACGAGTTCGAGCCGTGGTATCAGCCATTGATGCCTGCACTAGGGTAGGCTACCTACATCACATTCCCTTGGGGTGCGACCCTATAGGTCACGAGTTCGAGCCAGGGAATCAGCCATTGATGCTTGTATTAGGGTAGGCTACCTACATCATATCCTCTTGGATGCGACCCTATAGGTCATGAGTTCGAGCCGTGGAATCAGCCACAGATGCATGCGTCAGGGTAGACTGCATACATCATATTCTATTGGCATGTTGCCCTTCCCCAAACCCTGCAAGAACGCGAGGTACTTCGTACATCAGATTGTCTATTTTTTCCTTATTAATCTAAATTTGCTCTTTTACTTAATTGGAACAGGATTCGAGGAAACTAAAAGAGGGTGCTGTGGAAGTGGATTACTTGAAGCTGGACCTTTGTGTACAAGTCTTTCACCAGTGTGTTCAAATACTTCACAATACGTATTTTTTGATAGTATTCATCCAACTGAAGCAACATATTATAAGCTTACTGAGTACTTGGTGAAGGATTTTCTCTCGCAAATCTCAAGCAGTCGCAGTCCTTGATGTTTACAAACATATCGTAAAATGGTAAAAGAAGGGATTATTGTAATATTTTTCACTTATTGTAAAGAGAGAGAGCCAGAAAAATTGTGGGGGGCGGGGGGGGGGGTTTGATTGTAGCATTGAACAATTACCAAAAATTGGTGGTTTTTATTAAGACTAGTCTTCTTTAACCAATTTGGAATTTAAGTAAGCTGAAACATAAATATTTTTCGTGCTGAATCGATTTAGAATTACAAATCTAGCAATGATTAGCTTATTTTTAGTGTAAAATTGTATGCTGTTAAAAACTTTAACTAATAAAGTGCCTTTTGAAAGACAAAAATTAATAAAGATAAATGAGTTTGATAGCAATAGCAAACTCATCTTTCTTATAATGTTAACAGAAATTAACTTTTTTTCTCTTTCTTTCGAATTGTATCTATTTTTAGAAACAACTCTTTACTGCTCTTTCTAATTTTTTCTGAAGCTTTCAAATAAACATAAAATTTCATAAAGTTTCCATCTTCTTTTTAAACAGAAAGAAAATTCCGTCTAACATCATCATTCTAAGTCTACCAAGCTAGTTAAACTGAACTTTTAATAGCATTTGCAAAAGTTAAATGTTAATCCATCTAAGTAATATTCACAAACCAAAAACTCACACTCTATGCTATACAATGACATAAATACGCGTACGCTCCAATATAGGCAGTTATCGCTGTCTCTTGTCAGCTTCTTGGTTTGACATAGCTTCACTCCAATCTTTATCTAACCCTAATCATCTTGTGATATTGCAAATAATCATCACATTTGACTTCTGCATAACTATGCCTAGAGCACTACGTTTAATTATCGAAGCTTCAAGAAGCAAATTCTTATTCACACCTAAGTCCTAAAATCCAGAAGATTCCACTCTCTCCTTTCTATTTTTTCGTTTTTCACCCTGCGTTCGGTAGCCACTTTGCGGTTCGGATTATCGCCAGTAAGTCTTGCTTTGGATGTAAAGCACTCCCTACCACAATTACACTTTCATGATTGAAACTTGAGACTTTTTGATTAAAATGAATGGGTACTTACCGTTCCATCACAACCGTTTAATCAACATTTCATCACATGAATATGAATTTTAAAATACTTGTAAGGTACACATGTCTCATGTCTATCAATTCCTTATTCACATTTCTCTTCTTTTCGTGTGTTGTATTATTGTCCTCCTATTGAATGTATTATTGTATATTTTATAGGTACTCCACTATGGTAGTGGAATGATACGTGGGTCGGCACACTCTCATCATAGTATGGCTATCACATGAAGAGTCCAAAAAGCTTTCTTCAATTTCATGCCTTTATTTCTCATCCACAAACTTTAGTCCGGCCCATTATGTTAATAATGCTAAATGTCCCCCACTGCCTTTAATTGTTAATGTTTACCAAACCAAAACCTTAGTATCTAAACCTATAAATACCGTTACAATTGTCATGTTTCACTACAACAAGATAAAATCAAGCATTACTAGTAGATAAATAGAGGAATACTTGTTGACAAACATTTACTTTTGTAATTTTGTTACTCTTAGTGTCTTAATTTAAATATGGCTAGGGTGAAGGCATTGGGCTTTCTTGCCTTGCTTGTTTTGTCAACTCTTATTATGGCCTCTGAAGGTCGGGTGGCACGAAAGGATTTGGGCCTAGACGTGGGTGGTGGTATAGGAGTGGGCGTTGGTGCTGGTGTAGGCTTGGGTTTAGGAGGTGGAAGTGGTTCAGGAGCCGGTGCAGGAGCCGGTTCTGGCTCTGGCTCTGGCTCAAGATCAAGTTCTAGCTCAAGCTCAAGCTCAGGTTCAACTTCCTCGGGCAATGGTGGTGCAGGTTCAGAGGCAGGCTCGTATGCTGGATCAAGAGCTGGTTCTGGTTCAGGCAATCGAGGTGGATCAAGTGGTGCTGGTTCAGAGGCAGGCTCATACGCTGGATCAAGAGCTGGTTCTGGTTCCGGTAATTAAGGCCGATCATGTGTGCTCGTGAATACGGAGGTGACTATGGTAACTAAATATTCCATTAGAAAAATAAAAAAGGAGATTAATTACTACTTTTGTATGAATAAGAATAAAGAATATATAATGCATGGAGTCCTATATTTGTAATTAGTACCTTGTACTAGTTTGTGCCGTTGTCACTTGTGTATTAGATTAAATGGAGTAATTTAAGTATGGTTTGTGTTTTATGTTCTCTCTTTCGCTACAAGAAATTGCTTTACGTGCACAATTAGGTTATGTTAATCTACACCCACGTTTTATTTATTTTGACACATTAATTTTAACCAAACTTATTAGGGTGAAATTCAAAAATAGCCAGATTTACAAGTGGTAATTGAAAAATAGTCACAATTGCAAAAGTAATCGAAATTTAACCACTTTTCATGTAAAGATAAATAGGAATGAAAACATTGTTCAAAATTCGAAAAATATTCCAGTATAATATACTGGAGTTCCA